GATAGGCAGTTTTGTAAAAACCACCATAAATTGTAGAAAAATCGTATGGAGATGTGCAAGTAGCCATTTTAAAGCTAAAAACTTGAACTATTTGCACCATGTACAGTTTTGAAAACAAAAATGTTTAAGATGCCCAAAACAGTCCGTGAAATGGAGTTGAACTTTTCTGATGAAGGCTGTTAGAAATTTAGTTATGTTCTTAGTGTTTTAACTTGTATTCCCCCATGAAAACTTGAGAAACATGAAAATGTAGGGGTATGAACTCACCTTGAGTGATTTCAGTAGATGATTGTTGAAAAAGAGAAGTGTTCAACCAAGAACACTTGAAGAATCACTTGAAGATTCGAAGCTCTAACGCTAATATGATGGAGTTTGTGTAAAATATTCATGATTTGAGTAGAATGAAGTGAAATAATCATAAGGAGGATGAATTTTACTTACTAAGAGTGGAAGAACACGTGAAGATCAGCCTTGAATCTTGAGTTTGGAGTGGGAAAAGTTTGAGAGAAAGTGGTGTTTGATACTTAGTGAAATGAGGGCAAATGAAAGAAAATGAGGAGAGAGGATGTTGGTTCCAGCTCTAAAAACGTGGGAGTGAGTGAAATTTGAGTGTAAGGGAACATTGAAGTGACATAGGTAAGGTGGAGAGGTGTGGTTAGTCAAAGAGTGGGTGTGGGGTGGTTGCTTGTGACATTGGATAAGGCAAAGTCAACACTCCACCTTTAATAATCACCCATTTGATTTTTATTATTTAAATAATGATTTTCATCAAAATATGTTTAAATTATGAATATTTAGAGTTTATTATGTTAAAATATAATTTCTGGAGAAAATCCCGCTTTAAAATCACGAAAAACGGGCTTAAAATGTTAAAAATATCAAAAATGGGCTAAAAGTGGCAAAATGCGAAATCTGGCCGAGGCTCGGCCTTCTGGTGCTGAACCGAGAGAGAGAGAGGGAGGCAGAACCGAGAGGGAAGAAGAGAAGGGAAGGAACCGAGAGGGGGAAGGAGAGAACAGAGGGCGCGAGACAGAGACAGAGGGGCGGAGTAGCGAACAGAGACAGAGGGGCGGAGTAGCGAACAGAGACCGAGAGGAGCAGAGCGTGAAGCGACAGAGGCAGAGGCTCGGTCTCTGGTCTCTTAGCCACCAGAGGCTCGGTCTCTGGTCCTAAGAGGCCTCTCACTCCGGTTTCGGTTCCTAAAGCCTATTTTTCTCGTTTTCGCCCCGTTTCAAGCCGTTTTTGACCCGGTTAAGGGCCGGAATGACCCGAATGATTCCAAAAAGTAACGGGAAACTTTTGAGAGAGATTTGGGAGAGATTTCTCACACTTGGAGAGATTTGGGAGAGATTTGACATTCTTGGAGAGATTTCTCATACAAAGAGATATTTGAGAGAGGTTTCACATACTTGGAGAGATTTGGGAGAGATTTGACATTCTTGGAGAGATTTCTCATACAGAGAGATATTTGAGAGAGATTTCACATACTTGGAGAGATTTGGGAGAGATTTGACATTCTTGGAGAGATTTCTCATACAAAGAGATATTTGAGAGAGATTTCACATACTTAGAGGGATTTGGTAGAGATTTGACATTCTTGGAGAGATTTCTCATACAGGGAGATATTTGGGAGAGATTTCACATACTTGGAGAGATTTGGGAGAGATTTGACATTCTTGGAGAGATTTCTCATACAAAGAGATATTTGAGAGAGATTTCACATACTTAGAGGGATTTGGTAGAGATTTGACATTCTTGGAGAGATTTCTCATACAGGAGATATTTGGAGAGATTTCACATACTTGGAGAGATTTGGGAGAGATTTGACATTCTTGGAGAGATTTCTAATACAGAGAGATATTAGAGAGAGATTTCACACACGTGGAGAGATTAGGGAGAGATTTGACATAGAGAGAGATAGAGTGAAAACGATTGAGAGAGGATCCATGTGTGACAATTGTGAGTGTCCGGCATCGCAATGCATGGTTCGTAAACCCTGTTAAGCCTTGTTTAAGGATCTTACACACTCCCGATGAGTATGCATCATTGTTTTATCAGTTTGGCTCGCCACGTACTACAGTTTTTAGGTTAAAGAGATCTAGTTGTACGTACTTTTCGATTCATGTTTTCTTATTAGAATAGTCGGTTGTTTAGTAAATACTGAACGTAAGTCCAAGTACACAAGGGTTAGTTGAGCTGACCGGTTTGACTCGTTGACTTTATTTGACTTTGAATTGACCAGAATTTGACGGTTGTCACATCATCCCCCCGTTAAAGGGAATTTCGTCCCGAAATTTGCATTTCGAATGGGAATCTAGGGATTTAGGGGAAAGATGGGGATGACTTTTCGTTGTATAAGAATTTGATTATGGTGAGGAATAACTCGCCCGATGTCACATGATTACTACTATGCATGCTTTAATCGATGCTAGATTTAGCATATAAAGAAATTCGGGATTTAAATGTCGATGTTAGAAACACGTACTGATATTTGCGGGTGGTTCCGGAGTGGTTTCTCCCTCGGTGATTGCAAACACCCTCCCACCACCACCAGCATCTCTTGTCCTTGGGCATTCCCTTTTAAAGTGTCCCGTTTCTCCACACTCGTAACAGGTTGGGCTTACTCCAGAGCCGGGTACCTGGTTGATGGGTCGTGCTGGTGCCTTACAGAAACGAGCAGTGTGCCCCTCTCTGTCGCAGTTTTTGCAATGCAACTTTCGGCAAGCCCCAGTGTGATGGAAGTTACACTTGTTGCATTTCGGAAGTGTTCCAGCGTATGGTTTCATGGGAGTCGGCGTGGTGAGGGTTGTGGCAGCATGAACAGCAAGGATCTGTTGCTTCTTAGTGAGGGCTTGGGCTGATTGGTCCTTCTTGTTGTCCCAAAACTTTCTTTCGCTGTTCCCTCCTCTTGCTTGGGTAAGGGTGGTTGTCCTAGTGTCATGGTTGGCATGATGGTCAATGAGTTGTTGTGCTAACTCCTTGGCGCTGTCGAAGGTAGTTGGTCTTGAGGCCAACACGCTATCTTGAATTTCGGGGGACAATCCCCAGAGGTAACGCTCCAACTTTTTGTCTTCCGGGGTGACCATAACGGGAAAAGGAGTGCTAGATCACAAAATCGGTTGGTGTAAGTTGTAAGGTCGGAGCCTGCCATTCTGAGATTCCATAGTTCTTGCTCCAGCTTTTGCACTTCACCTCTTGGGCAATATTCCTTCAACATCATCTTCTTTAAGTCCCCCA